CAGGCCTTCATGGAGAGCCTCATCAAACAGGGTGGGCGAATTTTTGAATCCCTGTGGCAGCCGGGTCCAAGTCAGCTGCCCATTGAAGCTGATCTCCTGGTCTTGCCATTTGAAAGCAAAGAAGGGATGGCTCTCTTTGGCCAGAGGCAGGCTAAAGAAGGCATCTTTCAAGTCTAACTCCATTTACCAGTTTCTGGAAGGTGGCAAGGAACTCAGGAGAGTGTAAGGATTAGGTACCAAGGATGAACATCCATAACCTGCTTGTATACCTCTCTCAAGTCCTGGACCAGCTGATAGTAGAGGCCAGTTTTTGATGTAACCTAAATGTGGGAAGTGGGCGCGGTCGAGCCGGCCAAGATGGCACCCTGGCTGGCTGCCAAGCCTCGTGACCCTCACTTGTTTGCTCCAACTGTTAGCCCCGTGCTCATGTCCTGATTGGCTCCGTGTGATGGTCTGATTGTGGGATGGATCTGATGAGGGTATATATTGTGGGATGATGAAGAATAAAAGAGAGAGTGAGAGAATTGCTTGAACCTCACCTTGGCGTTCATGTTGTCCTTTCCTCGGCTCTGCTGGTCGGAGTCTTGGTTTGCGGCACAGCCTGGCAGTTTTGAAACAGAAATTGAACAGTTTGAAGAAACCCTGAATGGATGGGTTACAACAGATGACGCTCTGCAAGAACTTGTGGAAGGCATCTACCAGGAGGCCATGTCTATACCAAAATTTTGTATGGGAGCTCGCCTGTGTAATTACCTGTCCCACCATCTGACAATTAGCCCACAGAGTGGCAACTTCTGCTAATTGGTACTTCAAAGATGTCGGACCCAATATGAAATTAAAGATCAAGCTGCAAAAGGTGAAGAAGTTATTCGAAAATTATTTCATGCATTTGTACTGTTTCTGGGAGAACTTTATCTTAACCTGGTGATCAAAGGAAAAAATGGACAGGTTACAAGGGCAGATATTCTTCAGGTTGGTCTTCGGGAATTGCTGAATGCTCGCTTCTCTAATCCTATGGATGACAAGTTAATTTGTGCAGTAAAATTACTAAAGTTGACAGGGTCAGTTTTAGAAGATACTTGGAAAGAAAAGGGAAAGTCTGATATGGAAGAAATTATTCAGAGAATTGAAAATGTAGTCCTAGATGCAAACTGCAGCAGAGATGTAAAGCAGATGCTCTGGAAGTTTTCGGAACTCTGATCGAGTAAGTGGGGCAGAGTTCATGCAACTTCAACATACAGAGAAGCTACACCTGAAAACGATCCGAAGTACTTTATGAATGAACCAACATTTTATACATCTGATGGTATTCCTTTCACTGCAGCTGATCCAGATTACGAAGAGAAATATCAAGAGTTTCTTGAGAGGATTTTTCTCCAGATTATGAAGAAAATGGAACAGATATATCAGGAGCAGGTGATCCATATTTGGATATTGCTGATTAAATGGACCCAGAGATTGAAGAAGCTTATGAAAAGTTATGTTTGGAATCAAAGCATAAGTGAAAACATTAAAGTTAAATTTGACTATATCAGTTTTTTAAAACCATTTAGGTATGGGGAATTAGCAGACCAGAGGAAAGCAAGAAAATGTGTCAGACTTATACCAAATTAAGGATGCTATGTTACTAATGTATGAAATTAAGGATGTTATGCTACTAATGTATGAAATTTTAATTTTGTTTAACACTATCTGCCAAAATAAACTTTATTCCCTATAATTAAAAAAAAATAAAAAATAAAATAAAATAAAATTTTAGGGCTGGAGAGCTGGCATAGCCACTAAAGGCTCAGGCTCACAATCAAAATAAAAAAATATTTCTTATTTTTATTTTATGTGTGTGAGTAGATTGCCTGCATGTAAGTGCACCCATGACATGCAATGCCCACAGAGGTCAGAAGAGGGTGTCAGATTCCCTGGAACTGGAGGTACAGATGTTGTTAGCCACCATTTACTGAACCTAGGTCCTATGCAGGAGCAGCCAGTGCTCTTAAGTGCTAAGCTATCTCTCTAGCCCCTCCTCTGGTCTTTCTTTTTTTTTTTTTTTTTTTTGAGACAAGGTCTTGCTAAATTGTCCAAGCTTGCTCCAAATTTGCTATATGCCCCAGAAGCTCAGGCCAGCCTTGAACTCTCTAGTCTCCTGCCCCTAAGTGCCCAGATTACAGGCAAAAGCCACCATGCTACCACATATTGGCTTCTTTTGCTTAGTACTATATTTATGAAATTCACCTATACCACTGAGGCTTTGGCAATAGCAAAATCCACAAAGGGTAATTCTGCCACTTATTATCTGTGTGGGCTTTTGGTTGTTATTTGGTTGTTGTTTTTGTTTTGTTTTGTTTTGTTTTCATGGAGTCTCACTCTGTAGCTCAGTACAGGAGGCAAACCTCTTTCCCCAGCTTCCTGACTGCTAGTATTACAGGTGTGAGCCACCATACTCATTGGAAAGCCTTTAAAAAAATAAAAAAAGAAAGAAAAAAGAAAACATTGGGAAAAACCTACAAGATATAGGCGTAGGAAAGGATTTTCTAAACTGCACACCAATTAGTCAGGAAACAAGGGCAAGAATTAACAAATGGGACCTCATTAA